CCGGTCGTGTATCGGAGATGTTGGAGGAGTCAACAAGTGTTCACGCTGGCGGGGAATCTGGGCTTCAGCGCCGGGCACGTGGAGGAAAAGCCAGATGTTCTCCTCAACTTTTCAATGAAGCGTTTTAATCCCCACCCCTGCCGGTTTCGATCTGGATGAGCATCGTACCGGCGTCCGGTCGTGTATCGGAGATGTTGGAGGAGTGAACAAGTGTTCACGCTGGCGGGGAATCTGGGCTTCAGCACCGGGCACGTAGAGGAAAAGCCAGATGTTCTCATCAACTTTTCAATGAAGCGTTTTAATCCCCGCCCCTGCCGGTTTCGATCTGGATGAGCATCGTACCGGCGTCCGGTCGTGTATCGGAGATGTTGGAGGAGTCAACAAGTGTTCACGCTGGCGGGGAATCTGGGCTTCAGCACCGGGCACGTAGATGAAAAGCCAGATGTTCTCAACTTTTCAATGAAGCGTTTTAATCCCCACCCCTGCCGGTTTCGATCTGGATGAGCATCGTACCGGCGTCCGGTCGTGTATCGGAGACGTTGGAGGAGTCAACAAGTGTTCACGCTGGCGGGGAATCTGGGCTTCAGCACCGGGCACGTGGTTGAAAAGCCAGATGTTCTCAACTTTTCAATGAAGCGTTTTAATCCCCACCCCTGCCGGTTTCGATCTGGATGAGCATCGTACCGGCGTCCGGTCGTGTATCGGAGACGTTGGAGGAGTCAACAAGTGTTCACGCTGACGAGGAATCTGGGCTTCAGCACCGGGCACGTGGTTGAAAAGCCAGATGTTCTCAACTTTTCAATGAAGCGTTTTAATCCCCACCCCTGCCGGTTTCGATCTGGATGAGCATCGTACCGGCGTCCGGTCGTGTATCGGAGACGTTGGAGGAGTCAACAAGTGTTCACGCTGACGAGGAATCTGGGCTTCAGCACCGGGCACGTGGAGGAAAAGCCAGATGTTCTCCTCAACTTTTCAATGAAGCGTTTTAATCCCCACCCCTGCCGGTTTCGATCTGGATGAGCATCGTACCGGAGTCCGGTCGTGTATCGGAGACGTTGGAGGAGTCAACAAGTGTTCACGCTGGCGGGGAATCTGGGCTTCAGCACCGGGCACGTGGTTGAAAAGCCAGATGTTCTCAACTTTTCAATGAAGCGTTTTAATCCCCACCCCTGCCGGTTTCGATCTGGATGAGCATCGTACCGGCGTCCGGTCGTGCATCGGAGACGTTGGAGGAGTCAACAAGTGTTCACGCTGACGAGGAATCTGGGCTTCAGCACCGGGCACGTAGAGGAAAAGCCAGATGTTCTCAACTTTTCAATGAAGCGTTTTAATCCCCACCCCTGCCGGTTTCTATCTGGATGAGCATCGTACCGGCGTCCGGTCGTGCATCGGAGATGTTGGAGGAGTCAACAAGTGTTCACGCTGGCGGGGAATCTGGGCTTCAGCACCGGGCACGTAGAGGAAAAGCCAGATGTTCTCCTCAACTTTTCAATGAAGCGTTTTAATCCCCACCCCTGCCGGTTTCGATCTGGATGAGCATCGTACCGGCGTCCGGTCGTGTATCGGAGACGTTGGAGGAGTCAACAAGTGTTCACGCTGGCGGGGAATCTGGGCTTCAGCACCGGGCACGTGGAGGAAAAGCCAGATGTTCTCCTCAACTTTTCAATGAAGCGTTTTAATCCCCGCCCCTGCCGGTTTCGATCTGGGTGAGCATCGTACCGGCGTCCAGTCGTGCATCGGAGACGTTGGAGGAGTCAACAAGTGTTCACGCTGACGAGGAATCTGGGCTTCAGCACCGGGCACGTAGAGGAAAAGCCAGATGTTCTCCTCAACTTTTCAATGAAGCGTTTTAATCCCCACCCCTGCCGGTTTCTATCTGGATGAGCATCGTACCGGCGTCCGGTCGTGCATCGGAGATGTTGGAGGAGTCAACAAGTGTTCACGCTGGCGGGGAATCTGGGCTTCAGCACCGGGCACGTAGAGGAAAAGCCAGATGTTCTCCTCAACTTTTCAATGAAGCGTTTTAATCGCCACCCCTGCCGGTTTCGATCTGGATGAGCATCGTACCGGCGTCCGGTCGTGTATCGGAGACGTTGGAGGAGTCAACAAGTGTTCACGCTGGCGGGGAATCTGGGCTTCAGCACCGGGCACGTGGAGGAAAAGCCAGATGTTCTCCTCAACTTTTCAATGAAGCGTTTTAATCCCCGCCCCTGCCGGTTTCGATCTGGGTGAGCATCGTACCGGCGTCCAGTCGTGCATCGGAGACGTTGGAGGAGTCAACAAGTGTTCACGCTGACGAGGAATCTGGGCTTCAGCACCGGGCACGTAGAGGAAAAGCCAGATGTTCTCCTCAACTTTTCAATGAAGCGTTTTAATCCCCACCCCTGCCGGTTTCTATCTGGATGAGCATCGTACCGGCGTCCGGTCGTGCATCGGAGATGTTGGAGGAGTCAACAAGTGTTCACGCTGGCGGGGAATCTGGGCTTCAGCACCGGGCACGTAGAGGAAAAGCCAGATGTTCTCCTCAACTTTTCAATGAAGCGTTTTAATCCCCACCCCTGCCGGTTTCGATCTGGATGAGCATCGTACCGGCGTCCGGTCGTGTATCGGAGACGTTGGAGGAGTCAACAAGTGTTCACGCTGGCGGGGAATCTGGGCTTCAGCACCGGGCACGTGGAGGAAAAGCCAGATGTTCTCCTCAACTTTTCAATGAAGCGTTTTAATCCCCGCCCCTGCCGGTTTCGATCTGGGTGAGCATCGTACCGGCGTCCAGTCGTGCATCGGAGACGTTGGAGGAGTCAACAAGTGTTCACGCTGACGAGGAATCTGGGCTTCAGCACCGGGCACGTAGAGGAAAAGCCAGATGTTCTCCTCAACTTTTCAATGAAGCGTTTTAATCCCCACCCCTGCCGGTTTCGATCTGGATGAGCATCGTACCGGCGTCCGGTCGTGTATCGGAGATGTTGGAGGAGTCAACAAGTGTTCACGCTGGCGGGGAATCTGGGCTTCAGCACCGGGCACGTGGAGGAAAAGCCAGATGTTCTCCTCAACGTTTCAATGAAGCGTTTCAATCCCCACCCCTGCCGGTTTCGATCTGGATGAGCATCGCACCGGCGTCCGGTATCACTACTGCGTGGTGCACGTTAAAGACTCCAGGCTAGCGGTTGTACTGCACTGGCTAAATTGCTCATCTACGGCGAGTGACTCGTCGCAACTTTGAAAATGGCTGACCAACTACACGCTGTATACATTTCCACACAACCCCAATTAATAAGAAGCATTTATTTTCCTAATGTTTCGCACAACATACCCCATTATCAAGGGGAAAAAAATGTGCCTCGCTGACTTAATCCTTGTAAAACGGTCCATTAAAAAAATTCATCGAACCAATTCAATATATCGACTTCCGGTAACTGTTTTTGACGGCTCAGGTTACGGCTACGGTTCACGTCAAATGAAAAAGTCGGTTCCCGATCCGGTTCCGATTACTAAAAAAAAAGTCGCTGCTAAACGGTTTTGCTTTCGCTTATGATTAAGGTGCCTTCACACAGGTACACCAATAAAAATATTCTCGTTTAAATATCATGGCGAACATTAACGTGCCTGTCTCATAACTTCAGTTGTCCTGTACTCATTTAAGTGATATGCATATAGAAGAATCGAAATACCCTATTTTTCGACGGTCCTTCTGATGTCTGTCACTACGCTTACTTTGCGTGAAAGTTGTTTCTGAACAAAACAAGTGCCCCCCCTTCTTCCCCCAATGCTACCTTGCCGCATTACAATAAACTATTCCGAAAGATCCCTGCACTCAACTCTGCGCGCGTTGCATTACAGGACTTGGTTGGCCAAGTAGGAGTGGCATGGTTTCGGTTTCAATCGTCCCATTGAGGATGTAGTGCATCTCAGAACTGCATGAAAATAAAGTCAACGCTCGCTTTGCATCGCACCCATTCATCTTCGCGAGACCCCCGTTGAAACACGGAAATTCAGCGGTCATAAGTCTACCTAGGCTTAGCAAGGATTAGGAGTAAGGCCTGCCGCGTGCCATACATGTCTAGCGGCCTGGCTACCGCTCCAGAGTGTAGCATGACCCTCCTGGCTCGCGGATAATTTAAGAGGCCGGGAGCCGATGACAGGCCAAGTATACTGTTTACATGTGTCATTGTAGTCCGGTTTTTACATGCGCGCAGAAACTCCGGCACTTCAGAAATCCGAATAAACGTCCCAGCATTCCATCCATATCGGTAGCCAATTCCCACTGTATTATAAATTTAAGGAAAGTCGCATATTTGAAAATGCAAGTACTGTACTTGTTCTAGATTTGATGTCGTGAAGTGGGCCAATAACAACGCAAACTTGGTGACCAAAAGGTTCCCAAGATCTATTGCGCGGTATTACGCCCTCAGGTTCGCTTCGATTCAGGAAGAAGTATATTTGTCCGCTCCCCCTTTAAAAGGAGGCACCTAATTCTGTAGAGTCCGCCTATCTCTCAGTAATATCTCTTCCCCCTCTAGACGAGCTGCAAATACCGTGTGAAGCCACCACCACCAAACCAAAGATTAATGGTATGCATCTTCGAAAATCAGATACTGGTGGATTTCAGCATTTTTGCAGCTCAAATCATATCGCTCAAGAGTTTCTCACAGTTTTATGACAAGCAAATTGCACGTACTCTCTATACACCTTTTCCAGAAGGGCGCAGCCATGTTGAACGTCGTCACTTCTGGTATGAGGTAAAACATCGCTTCGACCTCTCCATGCCGCTGGAAGGGGGTTACGAAAAATTCGTGACTGTCACGCATTCTTGTTTTGCCTCACCTACATTTTCTCGCATATTCCAGGTTGAAATGTTTTATTATTTTTTCGTCCCGCATACCAGATAACAAATCCACGTGACTGAACACGTCGGGAAATAGAAAACGCCTATATACGATGTCCTCATTCAGGGCAAGTCAAACAAAAAAAATAAAATAAAAACAGTTTGGATGAAACAAACATAAGCATTCTTCATTCTATAAAAAGTAAAGGACCATGCCTTTAATCACTGCTGCATATGTACATATAAAACACGTCTCCCACGACATCAGAGACAAGCTTAATATGAAGTCTCTTCGCTTCCTTCGATGAGGTGAAGATTCGCGCGTGACGACGAATTCCAGATGATACCAGATCACCCGAAGCCCGCTCCTCGAAATATGAAGGCGATGACCCTAGCCGTGTCGCTCACTAAATAACACACATCGCGTGCAAAATTCTGGCTTAACTCAGTTCTGTGAAGGCACCACGGAGGCACCGGTCAAAGGTGCACTCTAGAAAATGCCCGCGTGTCTTCTACTTCCTCGCAGACAACGCGAAAGTCAAGCATTAAGGGCTATGAAAGGAGCTAAGCCAATGACGATGCCAAAGAGATTTCCAAGTTTCACCTGGAAATACAGCGTATGTGCGTAGGGACACCGACCATGCCGTTTCATATGCTGAATATTTCCGCACAATTTTTGCTTTTTAAGTGGACGGGTAATGTGTTTTTTCAAGCCTCATCACTAGCTGGGCTCCATCAGTAAACTGCGGCGTCGGTTTCTTTATCAGCGTGCCCCGGAGAAGTGGAGAGATGCGAGGGAATTTTTGTCGAGTGTGGGTCACGAGATATGACGCAGTTCTTTACATCTTGGTGTCTCCTTCGAAAACGTTGTTTTGGTAGGCGGGGGGTTCCCGAGAAGAGTGCTTCTCATCCTCTACTGCGGGATTCCGAGATCCTGGAGTGATGTACTTGTAAAAGTAGGCCACGATAGCGAAGATCAACATGTCCAGTCCCATGAGCCCGCAGTACATGAAGGATTCCGCCGACTGTGAGAGAGAAATACATTTGGATGGGCTGGTTAGTAACAACAGCAATTGAAAGGCGGGGAAACAAAATCGGGCAATGAGAGAAACTGAGGTTACGGGGGCCGTGCAGGGGTTTGGGTATTATTGCGTGTGGTCAGTGGACCGTATTTCTTAGACTAAACGCCTACCTAATTTATTGTAGATCATTGCTTCATTTATTGTGAACATACACAGATCTTTGCCTTAGTAGTGAGCACATTAAACAAAACTAAAATAAATAGGATAACACTTTAAAATATTTACAAAATTCTAAAGCAGGATAGATCGATAATATATAATTTAGATGCCAGAAAGCCACCGTTAAATGTAACAAGGAACAAAATAATTCTAAGTCTCATTTTACGGTTATAAAGAGGCTGTAAACGTGTCATTCGAAAATCTACATAACATTATGAAGGTTAAAAAAAAAAAGGTCTGATATGCTTTTATGGAACACAAAAATGAAATATCATTAAGAAGCAAAACGCCAAAAACACACACACAAAAAAAAAACGTATTTTTTTTGTGCAAAGGTACGAGATCAAGCAAGTTAAGAAGCTGTTCATAGTCAAAATAAACTCGCTTCCCAAACGATCTACGGCTGCACACGAGACGACGCTGAACTTTTTCTAAGATTGATGATTGAATAATTCCAACAGAGTTCCACACGACAGAGTTATGAAACAAGAGCGCGAAATCGACTAATCATGCACAGGCAAGAACTTAAATTTCGCGTCAATAGATAACCAATGCTTAGCGCTTGAAACAAATCGTTCATGAATTTGAAAACGTGTGCACTAAGCGGAAGAACTAAATCAAACAAACCTCCGAGGTCATGACTTCTATAAGACCTTAAAATAGCCATAATGAATAATAAGTACCAATAATCAATGCAGCTTTGCGGAATAAAATATAGCGAGTTTACTTCCAATGAGCACTGCAGACAACACCAAACAACTAATAAATATGTATATATCTTCTGGTCCCAATATACTGCCCTATTTAATGCGTAGCTTACAGGCAATATTTGCTTTAGCACTCAAAAAGTAACAAAAATCACCAGAACACTTCTGCTTATAATATTAAAACTTGGCCAGTATTGCCAGGGATAACTCTGTTTCATGTTTCGAAATTGGTAGGGTGTAGGCCAAAGTTCAGCAACAACCAAAGTCGATTATTTACTACCTGAACCAGCCTCCAGCAGAATGAGACGGAAGCGCAAGAAACTTCATTTGATAGCCGTATCCTAAGAAAACAGTTAATACTTGAGTCGTAATCTGAGGGAATAGGAGATAAGCTATCCTGCTATTCTAGAGGAATCATACGGATGTTCCTGCTATACTTGATTTGCATTGTGATGGAATATTAGAGAAACACTATGCTGCTACTTAAGTTGTATTCTAGAGGACATAAGGATGCTCCTGTTACACATGATTCGCATTCCTAACAGAATAGGAGAGAAACTCTATCCTGCTACTTAAGTTGGATTCAGAAAAATAATAAGGATGCTCTTGCTATACTTAATTCACGGCCTGGTGGAATCACAAGGAACCACTTGGGACTTGGCTTGAAGTCAAGCCGACTCATGTGAGTACCTACATAAACTAGTCTAGCGGAACAGAATCATAGAAACACTACTGCTTCTTGAATCATAGTTGGCAAACTCATAGAGGAACTGCGGAAATTGCTGCTGCTTGAGTCTAGTGGAATCCCATTTAATTTCTCCGAAATCTCCATTGTTGTCCTGCTCACCCAATACATGGCTTGCATGTGACGTCATTGCCTTATACTGGTGGTCATTCTCACTTGTTCTTACAGAGAAAAAAAATAATTGGTGGTCCAGTATGTTACAGGAGGTACGCGCTCAGTTACAAAGGCGCCATAATGGCAGGTGATATGAAGTCTGTAAGCCAATTATTGTAACATCGTAACACAAAGTTCACTATGCAGCGCACGAAATGTCCGTTATGCCGACAGTGCCACTGGCAATAGTCCACATTTTGATTATGCCCGGAGGCAATTTGGTGTAAAACCTCTCATGAATCCATGCATTCGTGCGCTCAAAAATTGATCAAAGAATCCTCAACGGTCATTAATCCTCAACCGTCCTCGAAAAATGATCGATGAATTCTCAACAAGGAATGAACACAGATATTTTAGTTCTAAAAACATTATCGCACTGACACTGAAAGTCGGCCGGGTAGCTCTCAAGGGAATGTAATTGCAAAGAAATTGCAGCATTACATTCCGAAAGCAATTATTACCTGTAATAATATTATTTCCCTACTAGTGATTCTAATTTCAATTAACTACCTTTAGAGCTAAGCAGTTGAACTTGTGATTAACCTACATTTCAGAAGCAGTTTACCCAAGTATGCTCTGGAGCAGAGATTTCACAACTTATGGGGAATTCGTGCGGTCAATCGTCGGCAACTTATTTTGCCGGAAAACTGGCAATAGTGCTGAAAATAATACCTGGAGATAGCGAGCAGGAGGGACAAAGGACAAACACAAATCTCCAAATACAGCTAAGGTGACTGGTGCGCGACCGAAAAAAATCCGTATCGAACCCGGGACCTCTCCTTTACAGGTGGAGCGCTCTACCAACTGAGCTAACCAGGGGTTAGGCGTCAGTAGAGCAAACGGGTTTTATCAGCTGCCACCAGTCTAACACCAACAAGGGTGAAGCTTGCAATTTAAGGTTACGTTTATAATGCAATTAAATGCAAAGGTGCAAGCGAGCTGGACAAGAATTTGGAGATTTGTGTTTGTCCTTTGTCCCTCTTGTTCCCATTATCCAGGGATTATTTTCATCATTCTTGTCCAGCTCGCTTGGACCTTTGCATTTAATTGCATTATAAACCGGCAACAGTCTTCGCGTGGTCAGTTTTCGGCCAACGCGCACCGTTCAGGTGTTGGTTCTCCGGCAAGCACCGGCAACTTTCCGCCGCTTTTTCCACCCGAGCTCCAAACGGCCGGGCGAGTAAGCGCCAGACTGTGTACGGTGTCGTCACTTCCGAAATGGGAAAGAAGGTCAGTGACAAAAAAAAAATGAACCAAAGAATGAAACTGATCTCAAGTCACTTCAGCAGCCACTACTCGAGTCAATCCAAGTCGTTGGGACGTGGGTGACGGCGGCGGCAGCCTGTCGCTAGCGGTGTCGCGCGGGCAAGAGGTGAAGTAAACTGCCACCGTCTGGCCTTTCGTGTTCGGGCGCTGAGGGTCACGTGATGTGCCGCCGACGCGTTTCTGGTTGCCGGTTCCGCCGGCTCGGTCTCGCCGGCGATTGACCACGCGAATTCGCCATTAGTTGACCTTATAACCGTGCCTGTATAGGTAATTTTCCCTCTGTCGCCGGCAGTCATGGGACCTCAAAATATGTCCCTCCCAGGATCCTACTAAATTTCAGACAATTATCATCCTTCGAGCAAACAGGCCCGAACAGCCCTGATGGAATTTGCTGGAAGAAATGATTTCTGGGGACCGTCGTTCGCTAGACCAATTCCACGAGTATAAAAAAACGGGCGTCCGAAGGTACCCGCAAAGTCAATTAGCGCAATTCACGAAGAGAGGTGGGCGAATGAGGTCGAAAATATTAAGAGCGTTGAATTATCCCGAGACTAGTGAAGAGGAGAGACATGAAAACGTGGAAGGGACAGAAATTAGACGTCTTCCTGTTTATTTTCTGTCTCCTGTACGTTTTGATGTTTCTCTTCTACCCCAGACTCGGGTTATTTCAATATGGTTAACATTCACCAGCCCGCCTGCACACTCACTTTATTTCCACGGATAACATGTTTCGACCTAAAATTGAATTCTGCGGTGGGACACGGAGCATGACGTTTCACGTGCTTACGTAGTGCTGAACGTCACATGGCAAATTCATTTTTACGTGCAAACATGTTTTCAACGAAGTCAGTCGCCGAGCTTCACGCATGCTCTGCGGGGAAGTAGATGCGCCAGTGATTTTCAGAGGCTTTTGGCTGTTGGTGCTAGGAGCGTGTGACCCGCAAAGGGGGCGCGGCGCTCTGCCTTGGAAGCTGGTTGCCAGCACCACCAACGACGACAGCGTCCACGTTCTGTCGCATAGTGAGACCCGCTCGGGCCTCTTCGAATCCGCCCGCAGCGTCCTGGCCAGGTCTGCGCCTTCCCGGTCTAAGCTCCGGAGTGAACGTTTGACTCCTCGAAATTAACAAGAACCTACCCGCTTCCAGCCTTGCTCTCTATATGTTTGTACGTCATTCGACCCTAGGGAGTTACTCGGAGCTCAGGTTCAATCGTGCGTCCCGCAGTTATAAGCGGCAACGACGGCAACCCACCGCCATGGTTTTCGTTCATCTCCACCAGAATATGCCTCTGCGAAGCGTTTGTGCGCTCGACGCTGCGGAAATTATTCCGAAACGACATTCGTCAGCGCCAGTAATGGATACAATCTACGTTATATTTATTTTCGATCCTCTCATTATCAGAGTGCTCTTCGCTCGCCGGCGGATTGACTAGACTTGCTGGGATTAAGATGACCTAGGTTTTTAATTTTCAGGTCTCGTGTAACAAAAGGTTAGCGCCCAGTGTGACACAGAACGTTTTGTCTAGCCCTGTGCTCTGGTAAGCTGGCATTCCTTAAAAATCAGATTTGGCTTCTACACAAGATGACTATAACAGTCTGGTCCTGTTCAATGCAAAATGCTTCAGCTATGCTCCGCACCGTGGCACCAGTCTTGTATATATCAATAAATATGACACACATGCTCGGACTTAACCTACAATTAGGGTGCCGTATTTTCGAATAAATCCGAAAAAAACCCGAAAAACCCTCTCCGGTAGATTTTCCGTCAATTCTGATTTATCCGAAAAACTCTGAATTTCGAGGTCACAGCGACAAAATAATCAGCAAAAAAGACGGAGTTTTACAACTAAACTTTATAAGAGCACAAGGTCAGTGGCCCCGAGGAAATTTCACTTCAGTTTCCCTTGAAATCTAGAACTACTAACAAAATGGGTTCGCCTTTCAGCACGTCGAGGTTCCTTCGGGACAACGGGCGATGGTACCCAAACCTTATTTATTTTGTATTTGAAGCTTTTAAAATTTTACGTAGAAAAATAAACTTTGAATTTCAAAGAATTGGGAATCTAACAGAACTAAACTTCGGTAACCGACGAATCCCCAGCAAAAAATAAACTCCGAAAACACAGAATCCTGCATAATGCGTATACATACCGCATTATTGAAGAATCTGGCTTTGGCAACGATAACAACAATCAGGTTTCCAACTGCGACTGTTATCAACCAGGCAGCTTGAACCACGGACTTCATTGACGTGGGTGCCTGAAAATAGAAATACGCAAGATAAACTGGTTTAGCATGGACGCCGGGAAATTAACTTTGTACAACAGAGACGTACACCCCCTACAAATGAAATGAAACCCACGATCTCGACGCGCTTGCTGCGCCTACAGTTCCCGTAAGCTCTAGTATCGGTTAAATTGTCAAAGATTCCCAGGATTTGGACCTAACCTTCGCGTTCCAAGTCAAGTGAACCAGAGCTTTAAAAACTGTCAAAAACGTTGAAGCACTGAGGGCTGCTTCAGATTATATCGTCCGCGGTAGTACGTGCGATATGAAAGGTGTGTATTAAATAACGAGGCTGGCGTCAAAAGTCTAACGTATATTTACAATATTACCAATTAACTGAAACTTTAGTTAACTGAAGAGTGGACTCGGTCCAGACTTGACGCCAGACCGGACACTCGACGGCGATGTCCCCCCATCCGTGAACGACCGCTGGAGCGATCGGTGGCTGCAGCAGTGGTTGCGCAGCCTCACTAAGGCTTCCTCCATGATGACCCCTTCGCGAAACCCCTCAAGCAGAGATTACACTCTTTCTGTCGAGAGCTGTGCGTTGCTGTGTCACGTTCATCTAGAGACGGGGGACTGGGAAATCGAAAAAGAACCCCCCCCCCCTCCTCCCCTAACGTAAATCGCAAATTTGATTTCGTACATATTTGCGACTTCTGTATCATATATAACCTCGACTGCTTTGTGTATTCAAAGAATGGTGTGGAACTATTTCCTAGTGCGGCTTAAGGTTGAATTTTGGATACATATTTCAGCTCCCAGTGTCTGAAAAACACATTGGCCCCTATAGATTGGTGCCCCACAGAGGACCATTTCAATATACTACCTGCATTGATCGCAGTTTTTCAACTTTAATACGCTGAATAAAAAAGGGCCACCTTTCTTTCTAGCTCGCTCTACCGCGCCTTGTGGTTTTCATATTCTGCGGTTCAAAATCGCCAATTTGCCAGTAAATTAACAACAGCTGCGAACGTTAATTTCGGCACATTTAGGTAGACTGAACGTTTAGAAATATGTTGTGGTTATGAAGATTACCCACAGAATACAAGACTAAAAGACGCAAAAAAAAAAAAAAAAAAGAGCTGCGAAGTTTTATCGAAGTTTAACTCACCTGAGAGTAGGAAAACTCCAAGCCCGTCACAGAAAACATAACTTCGCCTGCTGTGATCAAAACGTACTGCGGTATCTGGTAAAACATGTGCAGGCTGTTTGGTTCGATGGTCATGTGAGTCATGCACTGCACCTAAAGGAACAAAAACAAAGGGGGGGGGGGGGGGGAAGACGAAGTGAGTGTCAAATTAAAAATATTTGCCCGCTTCGAAACGCTGTTTGTTTACAAAACATCGAAGAACTCCCTTCAATAACCCCAATGACAATTCCAGTTAATCTCACGAGTTAGCTACGTCGACTCGCACCCGGTTAAGGGCCCGGGAGCACGTCTGACTTTGTAAGGTTATTTTTTGCGTGTAAACGAAGAATTCTGTGCATGAATGTGCGAATACTGCTTCAAATCAAACAGAGCAGTGTCATTCCTGGTTTGTAAGCTGTGAAGAGAGCCGGTAATGCACTGTAAGTGATGTCAATGACACAGTGCTGTTTCATTGAAACCACTATTGGCACGCGTGTAAATTTTGTACAGAAATGTCCTCGCATGTGCGCATTTACTGACGTGCCATACAACTTTTCAGATTGGGCACCAGTTAAGCGTTCAACAAGGAAGTCCCACCCGCCTTCCATGTCACCCTTCACTGTGTCAATTTCGACATCAGGAGTAGAGGATCAGCATGTTTAGCTTAATCATCGCAGTGGACTTATAGTTCTTTATTTTTATTTTTAGATATCATCTTCTTCTACAATACAGACGCAGGCCTCTGCCTTACCTATTTTTCTACCAGCTCAAACGGTGGGAATGGAAACATTCTTCATCGGACATCTCATAATTTGTCATAAATGAGCACTGAGCACTGAAGCATCTCAAAATTTGCATAAAGGGACGCAAGAGAGCATCAGAATACTGTCCTAATGTCCTGCACAATAATTGGCATGGCCAGTAACCCCAATTATCTTATTAACAAGCCTACTAGATCGAACCATCTCTTGGTATGACCAATGAGGAACTATTCGTAAAGCCACAAATTCCATGATAATCAGCCACTCCGTGAAGCGCTTCAGCTGTCAATTACCATTTTTACATAAAAACACGAGGTGGAAAGTAGAACTCGCTGACCCCCTTAAAGGGGCAGTGCAATGATTTTAATGTTGAAATAATTGGCAGTTTTCTTTTTGTATATTGTTTATGCAAGCCCAAGTGACCAAAAAAGCGTCACCTTTCCCCGAAAAAACTGCTATTCTGCTGCGTCATCGCAAAGCAAAAAACGAATTATTTGCCGATCTGCAGCCACCTGTCGGCGTTACGGGAACTAAAATGACACCGCCTCTGGGGTACCCGGAAGTCAACAAACCCTGTCCCCCTCCGCTGCTACACTCGCAGTCAGCTCCGTGGCGCACCGTCCTTTATGTCGATCGCTCGCCGCGACCTTCGACGATGATAATCTAAAAGTCGACAATCGCGGAGGAAGCGGCTGGTGTCTCAAGAGAGGACCCAGGGGGAAACCACGTGAACCCCCAGAGTACGTCACTCGAATGTCGACGTGGAGAGTTGAGAGGCACCTTGACCTTCGATTTGTATTTCTTTTTTTTTTCTTTTTTTTTTTCAATAAGACCTAGCGCTCGCAAGCAAAATACGATTTTCTGCTTTTCGTTCCATAGGTGACGCAGATTAATTTCCGCAGTTAATTGGCCAAAGTCTGAAAATTGTTGCACAACCCCTTTAACACGTACCGATTTGTTATTCTGGTCTTGCACGAATGTCATCATGTAGACGCCTCCATTTCTCACCGCAGTATTGCAAGTAGCTACTACGATGTCATCCACGGTCAACAGTTTGACAGCGTACCTGAAGTAAAAAAACAACGAAACGTTCTCAGCAAAACTCGCATTGATTCGGCGCACAAAGACAGTAAAAAGGGAAACCACAAGCTGTAGGAATGTGGAATTGGCAACATCCGCGCGTCCTTGTTGTTTTGCTAAAGCAGAAATGGCAATAAATATAACCAGTCCATCTTATAACATTGACTACCACAATTTCTATAAGCGGACACGGGCAGCTTTAACTGGGGCTCCCACTGCACGAACATTCGTGCTGCTAAGGTACGATCAAAAACAAGGGAGCTCGCGCTTATATACAGGGTCTCACCGAAAAATATTTACAGGGTTTCTTTTCTACCGCAAAAATTAATTAGGCATCGCCGAATGCTCATTCTCTGCCCAAAGATAGCGCTAGAGGTCACAACCAGATGCCAAAGTTTCAACCAGATCCGATAACTTAATCAAACGTTATAAGTGATTCTCTGAAAATTTCATTGGGGAATGGCGGCCGGCGGAGTTTTCGAATACGTGGGGCTTTATCAGCACGAGAAATCGAAAACGGGCAAAAATGGGCCCCACATTCCTATAGTAATTTTAAGAAAATCGCATAACTTTTGAATAAGGTATCGGATCGGGCTGAAACTTCGGCACCTGCAGTGGTTGTGACCTCTGGCGCTACCTTTGGGCGAAGAATGAGCGTTCGACGATGCCTAGTTTATTTTTGCGATAAAAAAAAAAAAAAACAAAAAAAAACCTATTTTTTTTTTGTGACACCTTGTATTTTTTGTTGTGATCAATGTTAAAGTGAGGTGAAGCTCATTGTTATATTGCCACATACTTTTCTTCAGTTTCCGCCATTGGGCGGCGAGCTAGAACACCCTTGACAAGAGTATTAAAGGATGTAGAAATAATTATGTAAGTAGGGACCTTCTAGGTAGATTAAAGTATTCAAAATGAACTGGATATATTTTTTTTTACTTTACTCACCATGACTGTAAGGCGTTTTATTGAGCTAACCATATTACTTTCTTCTTTCAGTATGTTTGTTAAATTAACAATCGTTTTTCCCCCGACCAATTTTATACAACAGATTTATACATCGCACGACGGTGAGCATGTGCAGAATATTAGTGAATATTAGTGCTTTTTTTTTTAATTTACTCATGAAAATTAGCGATACTAAGTTTTACATCAGTTGGTACCCACGTGCGCACACACCGTAGCACTAGTAGGTTTCATGTCAGCCTTTCAGCCGCGAAAGGAAATCGGGAAGCACTCGTAATTTCCTGTTAACTGTCACTATATGTCGTGCCTACACTCTAAATCAGGTTACTCATGTTGTTACTGATGCGCACACTGTTACTCATGGTAATGAGTAACAAAATCAAACCTCTTTTTGTGATTTATTTCCGAAGCACTGGCATAGATAGCTGCCTCATGAGTAACACGTGAAAAACGAGAGCTTCATGGGTAACGAAGCGCTTCACTCGCGAATCGTTACCCATGCTTTCGCATTGTTCCTCATGCGGACCACGAAGACCTGCAAAATGTAATGCCGCTAAATCTAGCTTTTCGCGAAAAGTCGTCTACGAACAAAGAGCAGCCATGGAAGCAAAAAATAAAATAAAGAAAATAACACGGGTGCCGGGAAGCGAAACTCTCCGAGAAGGGGACGTTTGTTTGCTATAATTTTTGGAGACCGGGGACCGCTGCGGCGGGCATAACTTTTTCAAGAAAGGTGAGTACGAAGCGGCATAATCCTTGGATTCGCTTTTGTTATTCTGACCTCGGTATATCCATACAGACACTCCTCTGACAAGGCAGCCTGTACAATGTCAGTCAGGCCAGGCCTAACGAACACCGACCTCGGCGGCACCACTCGCGGCTCCTGCGCGTCCCTGGACTGCTCGTGTGGGGCTTTTGTGACCCGTGAGGACGCATTTGGATATGCGGACTGTCCGGCCGGTTGGTGCTTGATTTGTGGCCATCCACCAGCACAGCGCGGGACTTTAGGTGAGTCAGTTTGTGGAAAGAGGGCTGGTCTTGACCGCGTCTCACGTTGCTGCGCTCAGACTCTGTCCCGGAGCGCGCGCGTTCGGCCGGCGCACGATTCACTGAGCGGACAGGAGCACCTTCGGCGACCGGAACCCGAGTGCGCTCCCAATGTACGTATTTCCATTAGGAGCACGAGTGGCTTTTTCGAGCTCAGTGACGACGCTTTCGCCTCATCTGTTTCGCTATTCTTTTGGCTGGTTTTGGTTAGAGCTCAAGCTTCTTGATCTGTCGTGCCTACGCAGCGCCAAGAGCCGACTCAGCGCGCTCCGTCGGCATCGTCACGACACGCTGGCGAAAGCCAAGCAGTCTATAGTCCGGCGCCTCGGTGCAGCCAGCGTGCTTCGTCGTCTACCGGCGGCTTGCTAGCGTGACGTAGCGATGGCGCGCGCGCGTCGGAGTGCGCTGCGTTGCAATATATAGACGCTTTACACACGCGCCCGATTACAGCCGCCATTGCCGACCTTCTCTTGTCTTACCGAGACGCCAAGCCACTCAAGCGGGCTTTCACGAACCTCCACAAAGGACAACGCAGGGGAGAAAGACACAGTTCGACCAAAAATGACAATAAGCTGACCTGCTATGGTAAGGATGGGGCAAAGTGATCAAAATAAGAGGAAACGAAAGCTAAAGGTCGGTTATGGCGGCGCCCACGCACAGGTGCTGCAAAGCGTCTATAGCAGGGCCATGACTTTTAGAAACGTCATGGCGGCCCAGCACTGTACACAGAACCGAAATCAAGCTGCTATGTTCTTCGTTTCTTCGAGCGTAGGAAAAGGAAAAAGGGTAAATAATTCTTGAGCAAATGGGAAGGGGGGTGGGTGATGAAGAAATAATTCATTTGCTGTATTTCTGTATGTATCGATCACCGGATTCATGCGCCGTATTTATTGGTTACAAGTTTGATATTGCAAAGCTGTTAAAGAAAAGTGTTCTAGTTTTGCTGCACTTCTTTTCGTACAGTGAAAACAATCTCGTTAAGGAGGCCAATACGGCACTTAGAAGAGGGCAATATTCATTGCTTGGGTCAACTTGGGCACAAAAATACCCGGACATGCTTTGGGACCGACCGAAAGCTGGGACCAAGCTCTCAACGCGACAGACACGTCTCTGGGTAAATACATTTTCAACTGTTTAATTACCACTGCCCCGTGCTTCGAATGGTATCAGGGAGGGTTCCTAAAACATCTGTTTTGACTTCTGGCAGAGTGTATTCATGTGCCGGTTAACAGCGAGGCGAAAGATGAGGTACGCACGAGAAAAAAAAAGACAAGGCGCAGGCAAACAATGGAGCGGATCAGTATGATGTAGACACTCTAGCGCAGCAGTCCACCCCAGATGCTCTCAAGGAACTGGAGGTAAATTTGTCTTGTGGCTCTCTTATGTGCATTCCAGCATTCAATGCCTCACACCCCCCTCCCTCTTTCAGCCCATCGACTCTGCTGTCAAGTGCCCAGCCTCAGTAAATGTGCCATATGTAGTCAAGCTCCTCAAAGTGACATTTGAAGAGAGGAAAGGCACCGTCTTGGACAAACTTCCAGTCTACTTCTTTAATGCTGAATGCGTAAGTGAGCATTTTGTATTTCATTCTAGTACGCACGCCGACCAAATCATACAGGCTGCTCTTTTTAGAGCATTGTTGACTATGTTTACCGTAACAATGAACTTTGTCTACTCTCTTGGATAGCTGCTGGCAGAATGCGAGCTGCACTTCGCCATGAGTTTTACAAGCATGAAAGGCGTGTGCACCAGCATACTGGAGGGCTTCGGCAAGGATCACGGGATACGCCAAGCAACACTGATGGACGTTCAAGCCTTTCTGCGGTCAAGATCATCCCGCGATGATGCTTTGAGCACGGTCAGTCAAATCTACTAATAAGATAAACGCTTCATGTAATGGCCATGTTAGAAACACGGTATTAGGAACAAGCATTTTTTATGGGGGCTTGCATTGACATGAAATTTAATACAATCCTCGTTGCGTTTTAAAAATAGCTGCGCGACTACATTCCCGCAGAGTGCTCGGTGGACAAACCAGCGTGATGTACGAAATGAATTCAATGAATCAAAAGATCGCAAATATGCTTAGCGTGAAAATGAAGTGTGCATTGGGATGCTGAGCACGACGATTTACCTGTCCAGTCATGCTCAGTCTCCCCATGAGAGACATCATTTTTATGTCTAGGCATACCTGCGGCATTGTCATTCGTGGATGTCTTTCATGGACCACGGTAATAGACTTACCCAGTGCTCGGCAGGGAAGTATAGTCGCGTAGATACTTTTTAAGACTGTGGGTTCAAAGCTATCATACTGACATTTTGCTTTTCGCTCAATGATAATACCGCCCATAACTCGGCCATTTGACTACCCAAAAAGCAATGCTCTTTAACTGACTTCGAATCAAAATAATTAAATTTAAGCCCACATTTGACGCTGAGCGCAGCTATAGAGTGAGAGCGTAAAGATGGGTAGCAGCTATTTTATTAGAGCTTTGGGCACTTTGTTTCCAGGAAGACGTTCCGACAGTTGAGAGAGGATGCCCAGGACCGAAAGTCTTTCTGGGGTCCAAAACAAAGGGTATTCTCTGTCCCGGAAGCAGTCCCCAGGTGGTCAACTTACCAAGCACCTGCTCCGACCTCAAGGCGTCTGTCCTTCTGCTGGGTGTTTATTATATTTTGAACTTGAGCTATCCATCTTCCTATGGGCAGCTTTTAGGGTTTTTGCAAACATTCATTGTAAAACGGGGGTCAAGGTTCGACAGAGGTTACCAATCAGCTCGCCTCTGCTCCCTGATAAGTGCTTGCAAACAGTATTTGAAGTAGCTTAACAAATTGATCGCTATTCTGGTTCTTGACAAGAGTACAGATCTTCCTCCTTTGCGAAATTTTCTAGTACTTTTATTTCAAAGTTCGTTTGAGTAAAATAGGGTGTAGTTCTAAGTTAGAAATTGCGACAAGCATATCATCCCGAGATGTGATAAAATTTGTTTGGAATAAAGTTCTTTCAAGTTGAGTATTGCTTCTCTCATGCCAAACAGTTATTTTTGCCCTTCCAGCAGGCCCGTCTGGCACCTGGGAGGTTGTTGGCGAATAGATTTCATCCCGCTTCTCTGCATTCACTATAAAGTTGCCATCGAACCGCCAGGCAACTTGCTGCGTCCCCATTTCCAGTTTATTTGGAGAGCAAGCTATAAGAATTTCGTCATCATTGCGGTTGAGGATCATGCGTCATCTTTAAATGATAGGTATATTAATTCCCAGGTCCGGTGGGCAAGCTGACAGCATGCCGAACCCAGTAGCACCCTCACAAGAGCTCGGGGATCAGCGCTGCTCTTAAATCCAGGCCTGCAAGAAACATTCAAAGGCGGGAAAATTTTCTCGCCACTCTTTCACTGGTCCCCCTCGCACGTAGGGGGGGGGGGGGGGGGGAGTGGTGAGGAGGTTTTAAACATAGGAAACCGTTTTTGCTCATGGGATGGGTAACGTCCTGCTACTCATGGGATGAGTAACGTTCGCATGAGTAACATAATTACGCATAAATCAAGCGGCACAAAAGATGCACTTTTGTGCCGCATGTCATGAGTAATCACATTTAGAGTGTATTAATCAAATTAAAAACAGATATAAAGAGAAGTGGCTCTACAGCGCGCTTCGCAGTCTCGTGACTGCATTCACTCAAATGAGTGGTGCTTTAGTTATTCGTACTCTGCCGCATAGCACCCATATACACTTCAAGAAGACTCGTTCGTCTACTTAACCGAGGCCGAAGTAAACGTTTCGACTTAACGGCGAAGTCTGTGAAATCACAGTAAGCATGACGTGAACTAATAGACCACCATCCTTTTTACTACATTGAACATCTTTTTTTTTTTCTTTTTTTTTGCGAAAAGAGAAAACTTTTTTTCGACCTCGGCATTCATCATATATACATCCTTCTGAAGTCGTAGTGGTTGACTCTCCGAATGGTCTTGCGGGAAAGCAGAAACGTATGGGCGTGTTTGAGCCTGTAGCCAGCGTGACGTTCAGTCTGCTCGGCAGCGTATTCGAAAAAAACTTGTAAGGTAAGTTGTAGGACCAACGGGCGATGCTTAGATAAACGCGCCGCAGTGATTCACGCGATGGCTCTTAGACGGCTCCTAGATTTGCTTACGCTTATCGGGTAAGCAAATAGGGAAACCGGTCAAAGGCTCGCGCGTAAATTATTTATGCGTGTTTACCTAACCTTCACCCCCCCCCCCCCCCCCGGTAAATCAGGCCATTGTAGATTAGGAGAGGGCTCGGCAGCACACAGCGACCAACAGACCGATGTCTACTATGTTCCTCACACAGATGATTCCCTGGTTTATTTGCCAAATTATAAACTCTAACTGTTTCAACGTGCTAGGACATGCCGCAGCGGACACGGGCTCGGTCGAACTCTGCAACCAGGATTGGTTACTTTGCACCCCGCTCCAGTGGCTTCACTAGGGTCAGCTGCACTCGGGGCGGTTGCCCGAGACCCCCCCCGTTTCGTGGCCCGCCGTGACACCCCCCGGAACGCTGCACCCGGGGCAATCCGCCCGCCCCCCCCCCCCTCCCTTGTGACGCCACTGTCCCGCCCACATCGACGTCATCGGCAACCAGGCTACTAAACAATGTCCAGACCTGCTGAATCTGAGAGGGCTCGGCAACCACGCGACGACCAACATGCTGAAGTCTACTCTGTTCCTCACGCAGATTTGGAATATGTTCAACGCAAGGGAGTTCAGCAGGGATTGTGTATTTCTCTTAATCGTGCCGAGCCCTCGGAAGTGTCGTGTGATGTTGCTGGAATGCCGGAGTGTTATGGAGTGGATGTGTGAATGGCAACTCTTATTGTCCAGGGACGTGGAGGACAATCCTGGGCCTGACGAAAAGGTCCTGGAAATACTGTCTGGCTTTGTCTAGTCAGAACGGAAATAAATACAAACCAGAAAGAAAGAAATATATACAAACCAGAAGAACATGAAAGTTTATCAAACGTGCCTAGAAGACAGTATCAAGAAAATTAACAATAAAATCAGAAAATTTTAGAACGTTATGATAAAAGTTCATTACCTCAATGAGAACGTAAAAGGAATTGACAGGGAAGTTGAAATCCTCGAGAAAACTCTCGAACAACATAACAATCGTATGGTCGACTTCGAAAATCGAAGCCGAACTTGCTAATATTTGGACTGGCTGAAACAGATAAAGCAAATGACGGCGACTTGAAACAAAAAGTATTAAAATAATTATTTGAGACTAAACTTTCACTTCAAGTCAGGCCACTTGAAAGAATTTCCAGAGTCGGAAACAAAAGAAAATAATCATGCAGATCTGCCCTTAGCAAAAAGAGGCCGTACTTCAAACGAAGTTGAAATATATTTAGTACGAATATTCATTTTGTATTTATTCTGTATTATTTTGGCCGCATTCGAAATACGCCCGTAAGGTATTCAAAATACATTATAAATATGAATCAAAAAAATGTTTTAGATATACCAAAAATATTATTCCTTCACACTGAAGATGCCATTTGTGCATTAAAAACCGGTTACACAATTATTTTTTTTTTATTTTCGATTTAGTCAGCAAATGGTGTCCCTGTGGTATTTGAAGGCACTACTAAATACATCTTACAAAGCTACATTAGAAACGAACACGAACACTATGACGCACTGAACAGCTCATTCACAGCCCCGTTGACTGCTCTAGAGCCTTATATAGCCTACATATTGAAGGTAATCATTTTTTCGGTGACCACCTCTGCGCTTATTAAGGTTCCAAGTATTCGATCTTCTCCTCGGGAGTCTGTCAAAGGGGAAACAGTGTTTTGAAGTTCGTGGACGATATCTCTTACTAAAAGGCATTGGTACAACTACTAACAATTCGGCGCAGTCCCTAAAAGAATATCCACACAAACGGCTCATAAGATACATGTTATTGCTTCTCTGCGTAGCACCACTCAGGACGAAGCGAATTAAGGCAGTTTCTTCACTTTAAAATACTGTAAACGACTTTATTTTCGTGAGGACCTAATTCTCGCAAAGTTCGCGAATCGCCTACAGTTCCGAAAAATAGGTCCCGTGAACAATTCCGGCAAAATGTAAAAACATTAAAATCTATGTTGCGATCCCAGCGCGTCGCGAAAATTAGAATTTGCGAATTATTCCAGAACTCCAACTTTGACCTAAATCGCGAAATATTGAGCCTGCGAAAAATAAATATTTTACAGTAGTTGTTTTGTTTTTGTTTTTTAGTAGTAGACTATTTAATATGGTAGTTAATGTCACTATATTAAAGTCACTATTCGCATCACGTACAATGGTGAGTATACACGTTCAGTGAACTAACATTGTGCTAACAAAACCACGCCAAATGTATCTGTTCACAGCACCTGCTGAAGCTTTCCAGCATCAGCAAATGTTGTGGTTGTAGTTCTTCAAACCCGTTTGCGATTGGTGTGCAATGAACAGATCAGGTGTGTTCTTGATAGAAAAAAGGAAACAATAACATAAACTGGGCTGATTTATCAGTGCGGTGCTGCGCGATTCAGTTGAAAAACTAATCAAATGTTGTATTTAGGCGCTTCAGTCTACTCCATATCTGCTTGAAGAGAACTTCTAGAAGGGGAGCTTTTCAATGTTTTGGTAGTTTAAGTCAAACTACCGAAGTATTGCAGTCAAAAGGCACTTAGAGTATAACACAACAGTATTTACGATTTTTAGGTATTTTAAAAGTATTCTGCACGTATTTTTGATTGCTTCATTTTCTTAGGGTTGGAGTATATTTTGCATGAATTAAATAAATATTTCAAGAAATATATGTGAAAGGTATTTTGTGCCTATTAATTTAGTATTTACATATTTCAAAACGCATGAAGGGAACTTCAAATGTAGTTTAAGTAAAGGTATTTTAAAATGACTTTTAGAAATATATTTTAGTACCAAGCAAAAAAAAAAAGAAGTTTATATTTTCGGTATATTTTTCGTGTACTTACAATTATGAACTGTATTTCAAATACACTCAAATTAGAATGTGGTATATTTCAAACGTATTAGTTTTCGCTAAGGGTGTCATAATGAAGTACTTTAATTACAGCTAAGACTAGTAGCGCTAAAGCACTAAAAGAAGTTAAACAGAATGGCCATCGGTCTCAGCAGCGACTACGCCAAAGAAACAAAAGAAAAACGCGAAAATCAGTCAGCCTTCAGTTCCATAATCCAGATAGTGAAAAGTTACACTGCGGTTTTGGGGGCTACTACATATATACATTTTTAGGCAAATAAAAATAACCACTCGACGCGCGTGTTCGATTTCAAATGAAACCACCGTTGAAATGTATTGCCGAATGAGATTGTGAATATAGAAACGGTGACTTCTATAGAGCATTCCATCATTGCATTATTAAATGAATAAAAGCGGAGACCGCTGTTTTTATGTATTATATGAAATGATAGATTGTTTTCAATCTTCTTCGCTATACCTATTCTTGTTTTTACGGCTTTTTTTTTATGGAAAACTTATATTTAGCGTTGTCTTTGATTTGTAATTTTTTTCTTTTTACGCCTGTCTGTTGTAGATCATATATTTCTTGCATTTTAGAAATTTTAACGCGAGAGCGTTGAGGAGCTCGTGTCGCAGAAAAGCCGGCGTCGGTGGCGTTATGGCGGAAAAATCCTGATTGGTTCATAGGGTCACGACGTCAGACACATGACCTCACGAAGGAAAATTCAAGCAACCTACAACGCACACGTGAATCGTGACGTCACGCATAGAATGAAAGTGATTTAAACGCGACATGGGCAATTCGAATTAAAAATCGCCACGTATGTCAAATGATTTCACTTTAAAGTAATTTATATACTTTAAACAAAAAATTTGAAGAATTTTAGGCGGCATCCGAACCCACGACCCTCCGGTTGCGAGCTAGACGCGCTACTCCCTAGGTTAAGCAGAGACGCTTGCACGACTTCGGAACGATCGGGAGTTTATTATGTTTCGCTATTCGTTTCACTCTTAAAGGCTAATCTGAAGCGTCCACCAGGTCTTTTTTTAGTAGCTCTGACCCTCCCTGTAATAGCCCCCAAGAGAGGGCTAACAATATTTTGGAATAAAAAAATAAATAAATATGACGTCCATCAAAAAGCCCGAATCAGAATGCCGAAATCGGCCCGCTGACTGACTTCACCAGCTTTTCCCAATACGCTGCTCGGCAATCCAGCACAGATAACATATCAGAGAACAGACGTCTTCTGGCCTTAGTCATTCACTTAGCCTTTTCTGTAGATCACGGCGACGAGCGCAATGTACGCGCTCTTCGTTCAATTAGGCGTGTGTGATAGGTTCATAAACAGTGCCGTTGGTATTAATGGGTGAAGAGCGTGTTGGTGTGGGGCAAGAGTGAAGATAAAATGAACATGTAGGACGAAAGAACCACATCTTTCAACTAGCAACGGACACATAGGAATTCCAAAAGAGAGCAAAAGATTAAAGGCGGAAAATTCGAGGCAAGGGAAAGTAACTAAGGAGAGGCAAAAGAGAAGAGACAATAAGATCAAATGCAGTTAGGTTGACAGTCATTTCTGATTTCAGAAATTCAAGTTCAGTCTTCGCAGCACCGATACTTTGTTTCACTATAAGCCAAAGCGCAGTCAAAGCCTAGACGACATTGAAGCAGATTCACAGACTAAGCGTGCAATGTCGAGGCGCATTTACTGTACTTGATTGATTGATTTAGCCGTCAATAATGCATGCCATGACGTTGCAGCTGTTTTGTTGGCCTCATCGGCTCGCTGTGTCGGCTGCGCTAGAACATAACACGGAAGCAAGTTCTGACGGCAAGGCTGTAGAGCGGTATTTTTAATGTTACCTACCACAGCGGGGGAGAAATCGGGGACGAGTGCTGCGTCAGCATTCGCCCAGGACTAGAGCTCAGTCACAGAGGAGTTCCAGTAGAACGATGACTCAGCACTCGGATCTGCACCGCGCTGGCCCGCGCTAAGTGACGCAGAAAATACAGCGCTATGGCCGTGCTACCTGGGTGCTGTGCGTCCGTAAGGAGAAAGTCCTCTTTGTGGAGAAGGCTGGCACCTCGCCGCCGAAGCCATCTCCAAAAATAAAACAAAAGTAATTAAGGGAAAAAATCAATAACCAAAAATCTTACTTTCCAGGCGCTATGTTGCTCAGGTTGGTGTATCCCGTGGATGAGTTTCCCGTTATAGGATAAAGAACCTCTTTCCCTTTGGCACCCCCTTCAAAGACCACTTTCGTAATTATTTCCTGAACGGAGTACAAAACTCGCATTCCGGAATCCAGGTTCTCGAACTTCAGGTGAGTGTGAGGGATCTGACAAAAGAAGAAAAACATCGAGTTACAACACTGAGGACCTGTCCCATGTAATCGAATCTACGGCTTGAACATGCTTCGACGTCACCTACACTACAATAATCGTATGAATTGCCGAGCGTTCGTTTTTCCGCAGAACCAATCGCTACGATCAGCTTACGGATGCTATGAATGGCCATGATCGTTCAGTCCCGAAAATGCTATCTGCATATGCATTGACCACGAGGTTTGCGGGAACCCTTTCCCGCGTTCCCCATGGTCTCCACCTGACGTCACGTGACCTTTCTCCCGAGAGGGAAATAACTCATCTATGGGCGTCAGCCAATGGCAAGGGTCAGGCAGCCGGAGGGGGCACTGCGGGGAGGGGACCGAGCTGACAACGAGAAAGAGCGGCCGGCTCTCTCTTCACCGGACCACCAAACCCGATGGTCGCTCCTGGCGCGGACCCACGGAGACGGCGGGCAACCCCGCTGAACTACCGTCGACCCCAGCCCCCGCGGGACCATGACAAGTGAGCAAGTAAAGAGTCCCATGAGGGCTTGGCTGCGATGTGAGTCCATTCGGAGACCATTAGTCGAAAACGTTAAAAAAAAAAAAAAACAGTTTTTAGGGGCGAAGTTCTTTAGGGACTAGCCTTGTTCGTCTGTCCGTCCGTCCGTCCGTCCGTCCATCCGGCGTCCGTGCTCACATAAGAAGAAAAAAATGTTTGCCCAGCCGACCGGATTCGATCCTGTGCGCCAATGGATTTCTAGTCCATCGACTTAACCACTCGGCCACGACTGCGGGACGAATAAGGGGCTCTGAGATGTGATAGCAACTCAAGAGCTGGGGTTTCTGTCATGGATGGAGCGTTGCATGTAGCCGCTCAACGTCTATACAGGAGAGGGCGCTGCGGTCAAATGCGTATATAATCGCGTTAAACTTGGCATGCATTGGCTCAACATTTATAAGCGAGAAAGCGCTGCGGTCAAATGCTCAAATGCGTATATAACCACGTTCCATACGACACATTCTCTTTCTGACATGGACCGTTGACTTAAGCAGTGGAGATGCGTTCCCACGGCTTCTAGCGGATCCAAGCTGATACGCTAGAAGAACCACTGGCTCTGCATTTCACCGACCATAAAGCAGTAATAATGAAGTCGAAACGACAACCCGGAACTCAGCACTACCTATGAGCAGTAACAAAAAATGAGCACCATCAGCACTACCTATGAACCATAAAATCAGTATCATCAGCACCACCAGAGCTTCGCCCCATCAACATCACTCAACACGTAAAAATGCGTTTTTTTTTTTTTTCTGCTTTTTTGCCAGTCTCTTATTACACGCTTTCTGGGGTTTCCGCTCGTTCAGAAGAGAAGTAAACAAGCAAGCGTTTTCAAAATTGTACTGAGACAGCTCAGCCCATCAACGACTGACAATAGAAAAATCTTTACCTCAAGGGCATGATCCGCACACTCCCACAGGGACGCGGAGCACGTGAAAAATCCACCTTGTTCCTGACAACAGCTATTTCCAGGTTAAACCAGTTATTTGCAAGGTTACCTCTGCAGATCGTAATAATTACCCTTTAAAACTTCCTGCGGGCGTACTTTTTTGCAGAACACGTGGAGAGGCAATCTTCACGAAGCATGTCAATCGAATGACGTAACTGTTCAAACCGCACGCTGCGATCTTACAGCAAGACGTATTTTTCAGCCATGCTCCCTCCGTAGGTCGGAGGGAGTGGTTCTCAGCGCTCTGCGGGAGAATAAACGTACAGTCAGCACGAAATGAAACCCAAACGCCGGAACGCGTGGCCGTTGATACAGGCTGCTCCACCTGGAGGGCCCCTGAGAACTAATGAAAATGCGCCGGGGTCCGAGAGTGCGGGTCCTATTAAGATGAGCTCGACCCTCGCGCGGCGCGTCTGGGAGTTCCGCGTTTCGCCGGTGGCGCGCTGTAAGCGCCGTCACATACGATACAAAAAGCACAGTCACTCGCTTTGTGTATCGGATTCCCCGCGATATCTCTTCAGCACTGTCATTCATTATCGCTTTGTGTATCGCAAGGGCGAAATGAAAGTTGAAACATTTCGTGCACGGAAGACCCGTAGTGCTTGATGACGTGTCGCCGGAACCACGCTGGGGCTCCGGTGAACAACGTGCCACGTGCGGTTTCTGAGAAATAGCGAAACGTCATAAACGGAAAATAAAATTCGTTTGTTGGCACGACCATACTCTTTATAAAAAAAAAAAATACTCCAATAGACTGACGCGGATGCCTCGGTTTTTATGAGCAATGCGCATGTTTTTGTGCGAGGTTATCAGTCGATTCTTAAAAAGCGAAGGATTGCTTGCTGACGCTCTTTGGTAACCACCGATATGCCAGGCGTATCAATTCCGGAGCGGAATAAATTCATCACCCTCTCTGAGCAGGGCTTATCGCAAAGAGCTATAGCCAGGTTAATTGGCCGCCCGGTGTCAACCGGGCGACGGTGGGCCGGCAGTGGGGCGACAGAAAAGCACCCTGAGTGACGGCGCTCACAGCGCGCCACCGGCGAAACGCGGAAGTCCCAGACAGGGTGTCGAACCGGAACCGAACCGAACCGAAAACCGGAACCGAACCGTTATTTTTAGCCGAACCGGAACTGAACCGAACCGAAATCTTTGCCGCCATCTTGGAACTGAACCGGAACCGAACCGAAAAAATATATAACGGTTACCGGTTCAAAACGGTTCAAGGTAATTTTTTTAATTTTTCGTTAGTATCAGAAAATGAATATATGGGAATAAAAAATTGGCAGATTTATTTCTATCTATTGATCAAATCGTCACAAAGAGAATTGCAATTTATGATACATTGTGGGTTTTCGTGGCGCTTTTGTATTGACACTATGATTAACCATGTGTCACATTGTCACGTGACGTCATGGTGTCAATGCATGCTGACAAATGTCACGTGACCCACTGCGCCAAGTCAATTTAATTTGAGGATGTCACTAGATGTATTAACCGTGTTGACAGCGTGACGTAACATGACATCACGACTTCGCACCGCGAGTCAGGTGACGCCGTGACGTAAGTGATTTTCATAACCCCGAGTCGTGTGCTCGGGTTCATGACAATCAGCATCGCCAAACATTCGGGTAACGGCTCATGTTCAATTAAATTTGATAATAACCGAACTCTAACAATATCTGAAGCTCCATCCCAAGTTTTTGCTTTCCAAACCCTAGCGCATGACTGAACACTGACGGTATATAATTAGCGTCAGATCACGTGGCCGCTTGTTCTACTTGGGAGTTGGAGGCGATCGACAGCTGTATCTTTTCTTTATTTTTTCTGCATCTGCTATTGCGCAGAGGGAAAAACTAATGGATGTTTTCGCAAGCTATCAGCGTCAGGGGTTACTTCTTAGCAGTATTTACTGAAAGTACAAAAAACGTTGCACGAGTAATTTTACATCATTGAGGCTCCCAAATCTTTTTTCGCGGTTGCTGAACTGCATCCGAAGGATGTCCCCGAGAATAGAAGTATTGAAATGACTAAATGTGTCTCATTAATATGACGTTATATAGAACTACGTGTGCGTACAAGAGAAATGACGAAAAAAAAAAAGATCCTAGCGATTTTAGGGGCACAGCCGAACGAACGTTGGCAGTCGCTCCAAGTCTCACACGAGTATCGTTCTGAAGTTATTGCCGAAGTTTCAACCACCTCTGTATTTTGCTTAAAGGAACCATAACAATGTTTTATACATTCACGTTTACTACTTAGAATCACTCCCTAACGTTAATAACTGAATAAACTTGGCTTTGATCTTCTTTCTAGGCAATGGCAGTGGCCAAAAAAATTGGAGAAATATGAGCATCATTCATCCCCTCAACTCGGAGCCAGAAGCGGCCATGTGGCCTGGTGCCTATCTTATGCCGCCAACGTTAATCATACCCCCGTGCTGGGGTTGGAAAGGAAAAAAACCCGTGCTGGGGGGGGGGGGGGGGCGAGCTCGAGGCATTGTTAGAGTTCGGCCGTACTCATAACTGCAGTGGTTGGACACGAGCCACTACCCAAGTGTCCGTCGAGGCATTGATTGTTACCAGCCGATTTACAGTGCTCACGCAGTACTCGTGTCCAATCCATGAGCCGCGCTCGACTGTCATCAGGCGGGTGGTTTCGATCCCACAATTACGTCATCAAGCTTTGCGAAGGCAAGACAGAAAAAAATAGTCCCCTTTTATCCTCGCAATTTCACCGCGACAAACAAGCTTCTGAATCAGTGGCGGTCATTTCCGAGTATAGTTGGGCCAGACCATGAGCAATGCGCCTCTGCGAAATCATGAACGTTCTAACACGATATCATTTTATGACCCCTTTAATCTTCACGGGGTGCAAAATAAAAGCAATGGAGGGTTGCTGCCAGCAAGTGACAAATAAAATTGTCGAATTAGCACGCGCAAACGGAGGCGGTAATTCCTCAGGAATACAAAATATTCTCTGGAGGAGCAACAAAAAAAGAAAAAGAAGTTTGTGTGTGTATGTGTGTGTGTGTGTGGGGGGGGGGGGGGTAGTTATAAAAAAACATACTGCGATGTAAAGGTTCCTCTTCCCCGCATCTTCGACGCAGACCAAAAACCGTAGCCCCGGAAACTACTTTGTTTGCAAACAACACTCTTGCCAAAAAGCACCTTTTGATCGTGCCAGACGCTTGCGCAGTTCCTCACAAAGATGCACTAAGAATAATAATACGCGCCTTTAAAATACTTAGATATCACTGCGCGCGAACCTCCTGTAGCGAGCATTTTGCACCATCGAATTTGATTTTATCGGCAAGAAAAAATCACAATGACCACCAGCATATAGTGTGATGACGTCACGTGCATACCATGTTAAGCTGTTCAGCTTTCTGGTGAAATGCTATGTTCCCAACACTAGCAATAGATGTCCTAACTGTAAAGTTGTGCAGTATTTATAGCAGTCCTGCGATGATGTACGGCAGCCTAGAGATATGTTAGAGCG